TTCCACCAGACCCTCCTTGTTAGAGAGGATGTTCCTTGTTTTGCTTTGCTTGTGCAAGGCTTTTGCTTTACCTATTAAACTGTCTGTATCTCAACCCAGGAGTTTTCTCACTCTTCCAATTCTCTTCCTCAGTCCCAGCTGGGGAACTGAATGAGCGACTGTGTGGTGCCTAGTTTCTGGCTAGTGTTAAACCACAACACCTCTAGAGACTTTTGCATTAAAAATGCTAATCCCAGATGCTAGGGTATCTATAGAAGTAAAAATGCTTTTCTTGAATGCGTTAGTGGAATTCTTAGCAGCTCACACATGCTGTGCGTTTCCTTTTATCTGGCTTTTAGACAATCTTCAGAGGATGAAAAAAAGCTGCTTAAAAAAGCTAATCTTTATTTTAATAATGTAGATTTGTGGCCAAGTGACACAAGTATGTTTGTCTCTGGAAAGTAAAGATTTTCTGAGGAAGAAAATTCAAGATAGTTATTTGTATGGTACTCATTCCTGGTTAACACTTTTTTTTTTTCCTGCTAGGTTGAAGACTGACAAAGCTTTGCGTTTGAGTATCATTGGTGAGCAGAAACTACTATTACTGAATATAGCGTTCAACTTTTTAGCATAGATTTTAAGTTTTACCAACTTTATAGGCACTCCAAGTAGTGTTTGTTTCTCTATAATCTGAGTTAATCTTAATATAGACTTTGTCAAAATGCTAAAATACCTGACATGTTCATTCCAGTCGTATATACAGGATTGAATTTGAGGCCGAATATGGCCTGATCTTTAGTCAGTGTACGTGACAACAGGGCAATATAGACCAAATGTCTGTTTTGTACATCTGTATATGTATTTACTGTATTTATTTCTGTGCTTTCTTTTTATTGCTTGTAAAAGAGGATAGTGTATGTAGGTTAACAGACATGCACCGTCTTAGGAAGTAAATTCAAAATTTTGAGACACAGTCTGGAATATTTTTCTCTTTCGTATGATTGACACTGCACCTTTTCAGTTTAATCTGTTGAAAGATTATGATGATCAGCACTCTTGCTCAGCCATTGTGTTGGGTTTTTTGTCCCTTAGAGCTTTCCTAAGTTTCCATCTTAAGCAATTGATCAAGTGATATTTTAAATGCTAATTTCCTGTAAAGCAAAGCATAACATCTTTTTTTCTAAAAGGACGGCATAAAATACATCTGAAATGATGTGAGAATGTTTCTGTTACAGCTACCATCATACCTGGTTTGCATAATATCAGTGAATCTATGATGCCATTCAAAATCTTGAAAAATCAGGTGTTACTTCAAAAAGTTTGAAGATCTTTAATCTATGTTGATGCTATAGTGATGATGTTATCATTAATGTTAAGTTTATTCTTGTAGGAGAAAAACTGCAATGGTTTCAAAGTCACCTTGACCCCAATAAAATTGAGTATACAAAGAAGGAAGCTGGTGAACTAATTGAAAAGTAAGACTGGTGTTAAAAAAACTGAATTAAATAGCTCAATTTGTCTTTTAAATAATGTTCTTAAATAAGGTCTGTAAAGCGGTGATAACTCAGACTTAATATATATTGTTTTTAATAATATCAAGTAGTTGATTTTGTTGCAACTGAGGTTAATTATATGTTGTAATATGTATATATTCCCAATAGAATTACTGAAGTCAGTAATTAGTTGGTTTTTTTATTTAAGAATATCTCTGCTTTTTTAAGACTCTAAATGATTTGGAGAGTAGTAATTGGATGAATTTGCTAGCCAGGTTATTCAGTGACACTTAAGTGCACAGATTTCATTCTACTTACTACTTTAATCTTTAATTTTCTTCGAGGTTAAACAGTACTTGGGTCAATTTTTAGGGCACGAAATATCAAAACTGAATCTCCTATAAAGGAACTCAGTTATTTCTGTGCTTTTGGATGTATATATATGTGGCTTGTCAGCATTTTTCACCTGTTAGCTAATTAGCATAATATATATGTATTCCCAGACAGGTGTGGTATATCAGTTTCCTTTCAGAAGCTCTGACATATTTCTTACACTGTTCAATGATACTTGCTAATCAATGCTAGTGATACTGCAAAGGCAATGAAAGTGTTACTTACTTTTTGAATTTGGATTGAATGTTTCTGAGGTAATGCAGAACACATGCCAAAGAAAACCTTTACTTTAAAAATTATTATTGAGGTGATGAAATTCAGCAATTAAGTTAGGAGTACTTAGATTTAACACTGGTCTTTCAGAGCAGGTGATTTATAATAATATGCTTGGTTTTTGTTTTGTTTCTTAGTTTTATACAAACATAGTTTAAAAGAAAAAGCAAATAAAAAAATCTCTGGGGTTGGGCTAGATGATTTTTAAAGGTCCCTTCCAACCCAATACATTCTTTGATTCTATGATTCAAATGAAGTTCTAAATGAGCTGCAACTTTGAAGATTATAGTAGTAGTTCAAATCTAAGAAAAATCTCTGACTAATTTAGAAAATACATAAATTTAGTAATATAACTGCTTAGATTATCAAAGTAATTCTTTTTTGCAAAGTTTTGCATGATTGCATCTAGCATAAATGCATTTTATTTCTTTCAGTTATATGTGTCGATTCAATGCTGAATTGGAGCAAATAGAATTACAAAACAGTATTAAAGGTAGACAAGGAAGACAGCATGGTTCACGGGAAACTGCCATCAAGCAGACCATAGAACGTGAAAAGCAGCTCTATGAAGGCTATGGAATAGGTATGGAAATATATTGGAAATAATCATGTTGTCAACATCATCTGCTTCTGCTCACAAGGCTAGAATCTAAGTGAAATTTCTAGATATTATTTTTCTCTTTAAAGGAATTAACTAACTAGGAATTAACTGCTAGGTATTATATGCCTTGCAGAGGAGTTTCAAAGGAGGGGCAGGGTGAAGAAAAGGAAAATAAAGATGGTGGAGATCTGACTTACAGGTTTCTGCTTTACTACTTTGCCTTTGTACTGCCTCTTTAGTGCAGGCGTATGTAACGTATTTTTTAAACTAGAGTGAGATTTAATGCACGTGTCTCAAGTACAAATTCTGTTCAACAGCTTGCTTCATTATATACAAAGTATTTTTAGATGCACTTCAGTGGGTGCGCATGTTTAAACACACATTAGCATGAAGACTATTTGCTCATGTGGGCAATACATCACTTTCTCTACAAATTAATTACTGTTATAAGTGGGCTTTGTTATGTGGACTTGTGCATCTGAAGTCTTTTATGTACAGCTTCCTCCTAACATTTTTTTGATAATATATAAACTTACTGTTAGGTATTAAACCTGTAGCCTGACTTGCCCCTTTCCACTGAGGTTTATCAGTGACATAAGGAACTTGAGCAGGTTTTGTATCATGAGAGAGTGGGCTCTAGGTTTCATGAACTTGAAGAGAACCAAAGCCTCTGAGCTTGTGGGCCTAGAACATCTTTAGGTAGAGACACTTCATTCCTCTAAGGCTGATATGTGTTTCATGCGAGAGAATGATTGCAGCATAAATTGTAGTACAGATGGATTTCCAAAATTTGAATATTTCTGGAGTTTTTAAATTAAAATCTAGATAATCCAGGAAGAAATCCTGAGCTATTGTGACATATCTCCTCTACAGGCTGTATTCTACAGGCATAAATGTGGTTTTCTGCTTGTGGATCATCATTTTTCCTCTTCTCAGGCAGAGGATTTATTCTTTTTTTCTTATTGCTTTGTGGAAAGCTGACGGGAAAAAAGCAATAGGACTAGACAGAAGGATGTCAAATGCACAAGCACAACATAAAAATAAAGAAGAATCCAGAAATATTGTAAGAAAAATTTGAGGTTATTATAGCATTAGTAAGTAAAGCATTCAGAGAGCATGGTACAACTTCACATATTAAATACACTCCCAAATCATTCATTATTTGTTATCACAGCTGCTGCTGGTTTCGCTCTGTCTAGGACAGTATTCATTCAGATAAAATAGTTGCTGCTAAATACTATAATTAGAGATTGGGGATGAATGGAAATCAGCTGGAAACAGCTTTTATGCTCTAGCTCATTATTATCCCTGAAAGCTTTAGTGAAGGGAACTTTCATAAGTGACTTAGTTTGTTGTGTTTTTCTGTCCCCTATTACTGAATTCAGTGATTTCTTGTATGCATGTGCATTTGCTATGAAGGGACTACATGATGTGAATTGTTTCTATTCAGGAAAGTCTCCTAAAATTTTGTGCCATGTAAATACATATACATCAGTTATGTGTAAATGAAATATTAGTTTTATTAGTTAATTCTTGGAACTTCAGGTTATAAGAAAATTAATTTAATTCAGATGAAAGTTGTATCATTTACATGTGTCTGCTAGTGTAACTGCTGTACTGTTTGTTAGCTTCTGTAATGGTCTTGATTGTGTAACTGCATGACTCTTGATCTAAAGAACATCTACAGTTTTTAACATCTATTTCATTTTTAACTTCAGGCTGCAATATCATCCTTTGACCTGACTTGGGTATTTCTTTGTATGGCAGTTCTAATGAATGTGATATATACGCAGCCTATATTCTGTGCAGAGCATTGACAGGACAGTAACATTTCAGCCCTTGTGAGATTTAGGTAAATCTCTTGTACAAATCTTTGGTTTGGGAGAGAGAAATCATTACTGCTATGGAGAATGATAGTGTTTTTATTAACAGCATACTTCTGGAAGGAAATAAAGCATCTCAGCAGACTGTCACAGAGCACTTGGTTAAAAAGCAATGCTGTGGGACACAGTTCTAGAAAGGCACACTGACACCAAGATTGGCTCCTTTGTCCCCTTTTTCTCTGGTTATGCTTTAGAAGCCCTTCAGTCCAAGTCTGTGCACAGAGAAAGTATCAGTCAGACCTAGAGCTGTCAAGCTTTTTACTTCTGTTGCCCATCAGAATTTTGAAGTAATCTGGAACAGTACTTCTCCATCCAAACACTTGGAAAGGTGCTGACTTCAGAGTATTTCTGTGTTCTGTAGTTCTGTGTTACAAATTAAGCTCAGTCACTTTGGTTTTTTCCTTGTCATGAAATAGTGTTAAGCACTAACATTTCTATCATAAAGTTTGAGAGCTATCATGTTCTTTTTTCTTTGTCAGAAGAAAGATGGGAAAATAAAATATTATCTGAAAAGGTCAGAAATATGAAAAAATGCTTGCTTAAATTTTTCACTGGTGTTTTTTTAAAACACATAGGTTTCTGAATATTTAGTCATAGAAATGCCAGACAGTATCTGCTCCTCAAAATATTGTCTTTGTTTTTTTTCCACTAACCCCTGTGCTATATTTCTCCATTTTCCTTTTTTTCCATCTTTAGTTCAGAAAACTCTCCAATAACTTAACTGTAACTTAACATTTTTAAAGCAAACTAAAAATTTCACAAGTAGCAGCAAAAAACATGGTACTGGTGCAGGTTAAGGAGATACTTCTGAGCAAGCAAATTGTAATCTGAAAATACAGTGCTACTGCAGCTTTCCACCATACCTTAAAAAATGTTACTGTGCAGTTTATAATTAGTTTATTTCTACACACTAACCAGAACGGGACTAGAGTTTCTAGTTCTGTTCCTAATCTGGCAGCGCTGGGGTTTGTATTGTGTAACATATTGCAAACACACATACAAGCAGAACTTTACCATTTTGCCACTGCCAGAGCAGTAAAGATCAATTCAGTGCCAAATCTTGGTTTGTGACAGAATCTCCTCCCTTCAGAATGCTTGCTTTCTTGTGATGACAGGATGACAGGCTAGATGAAATGATTAAAGCATTGTTAGAACAATGTCCTATGTAAGTTAATCAAAGCTATTAAATGCTTTCCACGATGTTTTGTTTTTCAGTTAAAACAAATCAATTGAAAGGGCTTTATTTGAAAGTTTTGTCATTTAGTCCTGGTTTGTCTGAGAATAACACAACTGTGTGCTGGGTCAGTGCTTTGATAGAAGGAACAAACACAAATTTCAGCACATTTCTAGGGCAGGTAGCCCAAATTAGCATAGTGACAATTCTACCACATTCACTGTTTACATCACTAAGCTCTGCCCTAAGAGAAAACTGAGTAGGTACTGCTCCTTGTACAGTATCTGAGAGAAGATAACTTCTTTCTCTCATGTGGAGGCTAGGACATTTCAGCATTTGGCACTGTGCTGCCAAGAGGGCAATTCAAGTAATTACAAAGAAACCAAGAGGGACCATGGCTTTGTTTCATTGCTCAGCTGGGAAGGATGGACCTGGTGTGGTATTGGTATTTATCAGAACCCAGGAATCAGCAGACCAAAAAAAAGGATTAGGTATGTTTTTTTGCCTTGCCTCGATCGGCTGGGAGTGATATCACTGTATCTATTTTCCAAGAAGCAGGCTGCAGAAATCAATGTAATTGGTATCAAAACCTGTTGTGTATATTATTGTCCTTTAGTTGGTAACTTTGTAATCCAGTATTAAAGGAGGAAATAATTTCTGAATGGTAAAGACAGTATCTGGCCACAAAGATAGTGACAGGTACTATCATTCTACATTCTGTAGTTGCAAAATCTATAATCCTGTATTGTTACCATCATCTGATCTATTACTGTCAGACTCAGGAAAATTGATAGATGAACAAAAGCAGAACTGTTTGTTCAGTGTTTGGTCAGGGACAGCATAAGAAGTTCCTGAAATGTCATCTTTTTAAGAGCCTAATTAGTAAAGTGGATTTAACATTACTGAGGCAGCAGGCAGCTGTCTTTGTTGTACAACCTGCTTGCTTTGAAATCTGTACACTTTGTAGGCAGCAATCAAGTGTTTTGTACTGTGCAAAATTTTAAAGGCTATTAAGGCATAAGTGTCTCCAATTTAGTGGAGATGTTAAACACCGGTCACTTGCAATAATTCTGGAGGACTGACCAAGAAAAGAATGACACTGAATCAAGGGAAAGCATCTTAGGCATCCTAGGTAAAATTCTGCATAAGTTTATGAACTACATATCTAGTAGGAATGTTTTGGCTATTCCAGGAGATTAAAAATAAAATAAAATAATAACAAACTTGTCCCATAGATTTCTGTACAAGATGCTTGCCTTCCTGTTTATTACCAAAGGTAATAAGGATTTATAGTGAGTGTATGTCACTTATTTCTGTTAGTAGGGAAGACTGAAAACTTCCAGTGTTTAAAACTGTTGATGTTTGTTTCTGTTCAACTGGGAGGAACATCAGCTCTTGAGAGGAGACAGGTGCCAACCATCTGTAAATACAATGTTGCAGTTCCTACAGTATTTAACAGGCATTTCAGCAACCTCAGAATGCTAGTTTCCCAGTGCTGAGTGGTTTATAGAACAGGTATTTAACAATGGCAACTAATTGCATTGGAGTGAGACTAATTGTTACCAAATAGTGATTCTTTGCTCTTAGACTGTCTCATTTCAGGTAGAAGGCAGTAGTGTTATATTTCAAAATCCAAGAATGTGTTCTGTTTAAACCCCTGACATCTTACTGTACTCTTTTTACTTACCTTTTGTCTGTTGTGCATATTTATAGTAAGTCCTGTAGAGCAGAATTGTCTTTCTATTACATGAGTGAGTGTTTATTAAAAATAGCATAACTAGACCTCGATCTTCATTGAGGGTATTAGCTATGCTTTTAAAACTTCAATTATTTTTCTTATTTCTTCACTAGATTTTTTTTTTTAAAGGAAAAACTTTAAGGGCTTAAATTTTTGCTGTTTCTTGGGTTTGTCAATTTAGCACTGAAGGACTCTACTTTTTATCATTTGTCAGGATTGGATTTTCAGTTACTGGTACATTTAAATTCTGGTTCATAGGTATCAGTTCACTGTTCTTTAGAAGTGAGAGGTCTTCCTGTCTATATATTGCTCTAGAAACTTCCTAATAGGAATCCTCATTCTCGTTTTCTTGGTCTTTTAATCTCTGAAATATGTTTACCTCTTTAGCTCACATTTCTTTCTTTGAAACGAGACTCACTTGAATCATGTAACACATCTAATAGAATGTAATTTCATTCCTATTAGAAATCCCAGACATTATGAACAGAAAACATCTTAAATTTTTCAGGTAAGTTCTTTTTATTATAGCTACTATTCTGTTTATGCAAAACAGTGTTTCTGAATCTGATACATCTTTTTTCTTAAAAAATGTCAGAGAATGTCATCTGAAAAGCAGACTAAGAAATGCCTTTTTCGGCATTTTTTAGCTGTTACAAGCTAAACATTGGTGACAGTTAATCATTAAAACATTGTAAAGGTTAGGTAGCTTCAACAGTTAGAGTTCCATTTCTGTAAATCAAGTATCTTTTTTTTTTCAGTGTTTTTCAAGAATATTTTCTCTTTACCTAGAATTCTCACCTCAGCCGTTCACTGATTTACACAGAAAGGATTTACTGTTAGTGTTTAAGGACCAAGATACAGATTTATTGATAAATGGAATTACTCTCTTTCCTTACCTGAAATGAGATTTTAGATGGTAGTTGAAGTCATATAGCAAAGTGACTGAAGTTATTTGTAGTCAGAACTTATCATTAAGTAACTGAAACAGCACTAAGTTCTTCATCATGCTTTCTAAGACCCAACTCTAGGTGTAGTACAGTAGTGTTTGTGTGTATGCATGAGTTGAAAATCTTAAGCTAATTGACAATTTGCATCCAGTGTGAGCTGCCTAGCTCGTCTGGGCCAGCCAGCCAATATGCCTTTGTCATGGATTGAATGAGTGCTCTTGCTGAAAGCTCTATCAAATGAGATACTTTAAAGGAGAGAAAGAAGAAAGAGGAAAAAAACAAACCAACCACAAAACTTATGAATGCTTATATTGCAAGGAGTGATATACTACTAACTCCTATGTAGCCAGAAGTCATACTTATAGGACGTTGGAAGAAAGCCTGAAATCTCAGAGAGCCTCTGGCTGCTGTGTTTATAAATACACAATTGCTTTCTTGTACTGGGACATCTGATGGAAGTGGTGGTGTTTTATTGCCTTGGTAGAGCAAAAACTTGTTTATCTTATAATTGGCAAATACTGTCTTAGCCCTTGATTCAAGCAAGCATTTTATTATCTGAGTACTGGATCTGACTTCTGATATTTAAAGGAACCCTTCCTCCTTCATGCAGCCTTTTGACATAATATACTTATCATGTGAATTAATGTTTACTGTGTCCCCTTGAAGTCAGTCATACAAGATATTAACAGTTAACCGTAAACCATAAAAAAGGACTTCATGTATATGATATGCTTCATGTATATGATATATGACCCGCCTTCTGGACAAGGGAAGGGCTGT